AAGTCCATGGTCTCTTATTTTTCCTTCTTCTCATATATACTCCATTAAGACAGCAGAGCAGAATTGGAATATTTTGATGACGTCACTTGTGATGTCTGGGGTAGAAAACTGGATTGAAGTAGCAATATCATGTGTCTCTACTAGACCTCTGCTTTATACTAATAGATCAAGTGTCTTGTAGGGGCTTGGTTGGCTGCGTTGGCATGCTCCTGTAATCCTAGCACTTCGGGAGGCCAAGGCAGGAGGATCGCTTGAGGTCAGGAGTTCAAGAACAGCCTGGGCAACATAGAGAGACCCTGTCTCTACAATAAATTAAAAAAAAAAAATTAGCTGGGCATGGTGGTGTGAACCTGTAGTTCTAGCTAATTGGGAGGAGAATCGCTTGAGCACAGGAGCTTAAGATTACAGTGAGCTATGATTACACCACTGCACTTTAGCCCACAAGCGACAGACCCTGTCTTAAAAAAACAAAAAAAGAAAAGAAAAAGAAAAAGGGCAGGGGCTTAACTTTTAGTCATCTTTACAAACAGTTCTGACACACCACCTCACACATAGAGAACTCAGCAAATGCTATCTGAATAAAAGAAAATGATTGGCAAGACCGGAAGTTCTGTTGCCCAATACCTGCGTTCTTTTGCAGGCTGGTCTGCACTCCAAGGCCTGTTCATCCGCCTGCTTCCTATGGGGGCAGGTTTGTCTCCAGGCTTGGCTCTCACACTATGCTGCACTTCAATTTACAACAAGCCCTTGATGAACGAGTGCTGCATCCACAGTAGCAATGCGGCATCATCTCTTTAAAAGTGAGGGATGAAGGCATAAGACGCGCTGTATTGGTCAGGCTCGGAACGGAACACTCTTCCACACTATTCCACACTAGACACCCAATAGTGAGAGGGAAACAGAAATGGAAACCATATAGGGAGCAGTGGCAACAATTAAAAGATTGGCTTGTGTCGGATTAAATATTCTTCACATTTTGGATCTCAGGAAAAATCATGGGAACTATTTGAAATATAAAGGATGGAGTAATATATTGACTGACATGCAGTACTTATACCTGATTAAGCTGTGACTTTACATATTTTGTAACCTGGGACAGCCATTACAACATATTTGTCTTTTTTAAAAAAAACAAAACTTGCTGACTTAGTTAACCCTTTATTTTTTTGCTGAGACTTAAAGTATGTTGCATGCATCCTATCAAACCACCTATGAAATGCAAATTAACTCAACCTCTGTATTTCAGCATTTCCTGAATCACCTAATACCACTGAAGATAACTAAAATATTACCGCTGATACTTTTCCTAATTTGACATTCCTAAAAAAGGTTGTGGGGATGGGAAGTAAGGCGGTGACCTTATTTCAAAAATCAAATTTTTTTTTTTTTGAGACAAGGTCTTGCTCTGTTACCTGGGCTGGAGTGCAGTGGTAGGATCACAACTCACTGTAACCTTGAACTCCTGGCTCAGGAAATCCTCCTGCCTCAGTCTCCAGAGTAGCTAGGACTACAGATGCTCACTATTACACCTGGCTATTTTTAAATTTTTGTAGAGATGCTGCCCAGGCTGGTCTCAAACTCCTGGCCTCAAGCAATCCTCCCACCTTGGAATTACAGGCATGCGCCACTCATCCAGCTCCCAATCAGTTAACTGATTTCCCCACCTCCATTTCCGGTGTGTGGGTCTATTCGTATGTGTGTTACTATATTTCTTTTGCTAACCAGATAATATATAACCTTCAAGAAATATAGCCAACTAAGCCAAAAAGTAGAAAAAACCCAAGTATCCACTAACTGATGGATGGATAAATAGAATGTGGTAAGTCCATACAATGGAATATTATCCAGCCACGAAAAAGAAGGAAGTACTGATACAAGCTCCAACATGGATGAGCCTCAAAAACATCATGTTCGCCTGTAATCCTAGCACTCTGGGAGGCCGAGGCGGGTGGATTGTTTGAGCTCAGGAGTTCAAGACCAGCCTGAGCAAGAGTGAGACCCCGTCTCTACCAAAAATAGAAAGAAATTAATTGGACAGCTAAAAATATATAGAAAAAATTAGCCGAGGCATGGTGGCGCGTGCCTGTAGTCCCAGCTACTTGGGAGGCTGAGGCAGTAGGATTGCTTGAGCCCAGGAGTCTGAGGTTGCTGTGAGCTAGGCTGACGCCACGGCACTCACTCTAGCCAGGGCAACAAAGTGAGACTCTGTCTCAAAAACAAACAAACAAACAAACAAAAAAAACATCATGCTAAGTGAAAGGTGCCAGGCACAAAAGGCCACATACTGTGATTTCATTTATGTGAAATGTCCAGAATAGACAAATCCATAGAGACAGAAAGTGGATTAGTGGTTACCAGGGGCTGGAGGGAGGGGGGAATAGGGAGTGACTGCTAATGGGTACAGCACTGCTTTTTGGGGTGATGAAAATATTCTGGAATCAGATAGTGCTGATAGTTGTCCAACTTTGTGAATGTACTAAAAACTACTGAACTGTACACTTTAAAAAAGGTGAATTTTATGGTATGTGAATTATATCCAAAATTTTTGAAAATAAAAAATACGGCTAATCACAAAAACAGCTTAAGCTCCAGTGATTTTTCAGTAAGTCATTGAATTTTTTTTTTCATACACACCATGGGATACTAGTAAGTCAATAAATTGTGATGAGTCTCGCTTTCCTCACCTCTAAAAGGAAGAGGTAGGATCAGATGCTGTCTTTCATCTTTTTAGCTTTAAATAGTTATGATTCTATTTGGAATATAGTGGATTTTCATAACTTGGGTATTCTCACAGTAAGAGCTTTGCCTATCGCCTGAAATACGCAACTGCAGGTAAAGATGCTGATGTTCTGTCATGGGCCAAGTGCTGCCTAACAGGAAGCACGCCACTTTAAGATGTCAAAACCCAAGTTTTAGGTTTGTTTTATTTTTATTTTTTATTTTTTAAAAATAAATGTTGCCCAGGCTGGACTGAAACTGCTGGGCTCAAGGGATCCTCCTGCCTCCTGAGTAGCTGGGACTACAGGTGCACACCACCAGGTCCAGCCTGTTTGTTTTTTTAAGGGAGTAAATATTTCTCTTTAGAAATAAGGAGAAAATCCAACTCCTTGATAAAACCAAACATGCCATCAGGATAAAAAGCAGAAGCAGTGCAAACCAACAGAATTCAGTTGGTCAGCTCCTAACGCCATAATATAGACTTTTTTTTTTTTTTTTTTTGAGACAGAGTCTCACTCTCTTGCTTGGGCTAGAGTGCCGTGGCATCATCCTAGCTCACAGCAACCTCAAACTCCTGGGCTCAAGCGATCCTCCTGCCTCAGCCTCCTGAGTAGCTGGGACTACAGGCACGCGCCACCATGCCCGGCTAATTTTTTCTATATATTTTTAGTTCTCCGATTAATTTCTTTCTATTTTTAGTAGAGACGGGGTCTAGCTCTTGCTCAGGCTGGTTTCGAACTCCTGAGCTCAAACAATCCACCCGCCTCGGCCTCCCAGAGATATAGACTTTATCTAAAACAAATGTTTCCTCTCGCTCAAAACGGGGACAGTTTCAATACTCATCACTTCTACCCCATTTTTTCCCTGAGTTTCACATTATTTCTCCCATATTTTTGCAATCTTTCTGCTTTAGGCTGTTCAAACTGTTCAATTCCAACTACTGCTCTCAAATACTAAAATCCCATGAGGATTTGTACCTACTATTCTAAATAAGCAATTGGTTCAAGTATCCAAATAAAAATGTCAGACAACCCAAGCTGCAGACCCAGGCTGCCGGTCAACTGGCTATGACAAAGGACAGCTGCAGAGATGCAACAGAAAAAAGTTTCAGGCGGTTTCAACTAAAGAATGAAAAGGAAATAAAACCACAATTGAGATATGGAAAGACATCTAGTGTTTCAACCAATTGCCAGTAGGTATTTAATTCGAATTCCTGAATAAAATAAGAAATCCCCAAAGCCAAATAAGCATCACAATAAATCACACGAGTAGACAAGGGTATGATTTTTGGGCAGGCCCTGTGCAAAGAAAATCTTTTCAGTTTTTTTGTTTTTTAAGGGACAGAGTCTCATTTTATTGCCTACGGTGGAACCTCAAACTCCTGGGGTCAAGGGACCCTCCCACCTCAGGCTCCCTAGTAGCTGGGACTGTAAGTATGTGCCACCATGAATCCTTGCAGTATTAATCGACTCTTCCCCATGCACTCCCAACCTGCTGTACCCTCAATCTTTGCCATTTCAGTAAACGGAACTCCATTCTTCATCACATCCCACATCAACCTGTTAGGAAACCCAGTTGGCTCTACCTTTAAAACATACATAGAATTAGACCACCTCTCACCACCTCCACCACTACCAAGACCCAATTTTCTCTTGCTTGAATTTTGCAATGGCCTCCTAACTGGACTCCTCAATTTCCAACCTTGCCCCCAATACAATCTATTCTCAAAAGTAAGTAGAGTGATTCTTTTCAAATGAGCATTCCAATGATGTCACCTCTCTGTTCAAAACCCTCTAAAAGATTTTCAGTTTCACTCAGAGTAAAAGCCAAAGTCTTCAGGAAGGCCTACAAGACCTGCTAGATCTGATTTCCCATTTCCTCTCTGGCTTCATATCCCATTACTCACTCTGTTTCATTTGCACAGGACTATTTACATGTCTTCAAACTTGTACCCCAGGGCCTTTGCATTTGCTGTTGTCTAGTTATCTGCAGGGCTCACTCCTCACCCTGTTAAGTCGGTTGAAATGTTACCTTGCTGAAGCCTTCCCTGACTCACCCTGACCCCTCAGTACCTGCTTCATTTTTCTCAATAGCACTTACAACCTTCTAACCTTCTAATATATAGATTGCTTATTTACTTTGTTTATGATCTGTCTGCCTCCATCAAAATACAAACTCCACGAGGGCAGGATGTTTTGTCTTTTCACTTCCTGTCGTATCCTGCCTCCTAGGACAGCAGGTGCTCACTAAACGTGTGTGGAACGAGTGTCACGTGAACTCACCGGGGTCCCCCAGGTCGGTGCTTGGAAGAAACGTGCGGCAGCGCTCCTTGTGCTCCTCAAGGGAACTTCTCTGTTTGTAACTCCTTCCACAAAACTCGCATTTGTAGGGTTTCTCGACTAGAGGGAGAGCACAGGGAACACTCAGTAACCCTCAAGGGTTACAGGGGTTCCATACAGAGGGTGTGTTGGGCTCTGGGACAACAGTTCACTAGAAATGGGATTGCCAAGTGAAGCCAGAGTACCTGGACACTTTTCAATTCTATATCGCTTTTAAATTTATTTAGCTGAGATAAGGTTATGGTTTATGCTTAATTATCACGTCAGAGGAGTATTCTAAAGGATGTCCTCCTGTCACAGATGAAAGGATTTGGAATTAAAGATTACCATTTAGCATACTGTTTTGGTTTCAGATCAAATCTTGTTTCCTCAGGAAAAAGAAAATAGGGCCCTTTTATTCTTCAAGGAGGGTATGTGGTATGAGGATGAAACAGGAAGGGATTCTTCATTTTGTGACATCCCTCTGGCTGTAAGTAAAGAATGCTGCGGTTTGAGGGAGTTGGCCATTTTTCTAGAGACCAATGGCCTTTTTGGAATATTGACATATTTGAATAATGTTAGCTCATCCTTGCCAAGTGGCAATAGGAAATAGGCTATAGTCTAGGCTAAAACAATAAAAACTGAGCTAATTAAGGATATTTTTGAATAATAGAAATAAGAATGAACTGCAAAAATGACTTCATCTAAATGTCTAAAATGAAGCAAATGTTTCCTCAAAAGTTCACCTGTACAATTCAGGACACCTTTATCCTCCCAACTTTCCAAAAGCTTTATTGCTTGAAATGTTAGTAATCACTTCAACTCTGTGCAAGGCTAGGCTTTCTGATTTGTTGATAAAATATACTCGGTGAATTTGTCAGCATTTTTATTGCTGAGAATAAAATTTTTTACTTTTGCAATTTTTATTTTCTAACTCCTCTTACACTGTTTAAAATAGAGGCTTTGGGATTTAAAGAACTAAAAGGTTTTTATGAAATCTCAAATTAAAATAAATGCAGGTTTGCTAGGGCTAAAAATGTTAAGTTTCTGCATAAATTGGGGTCATTTAGAATCTGTCTAAAAATGCCTACTATTGTTTCTTACTTGAAAAAGGCAACGGAACTATTCTAATTTTTTGGAACCAAACTCATCCTTAATTCATTACTTTGAAAAATGAGCTGTAAAAGAAAGAAACCCTTCCTTTGCCATTTATGATTTCTCATGGGGGTTTGTTGGGGCTGACTTGTTTAATCCTAGTCTTTGAATTGTAACCAGTTTCGAGTTTAGGGCTAGGTTTTAGTCAAAGCAGTAGATGTGGATTAACATAAAAACAAACTTTTTTTTCTTCAATCAAAATTTTGTCAGATAACATCAAGAACATGAGGTCCCAAATTTGAAGAAGAAAAAAAACTCAGTCTTATTTTTCTAGGAGGGAAATTCTGAATGTTGAAAAAAAAATGTATTATCTTGCTTGGTTAAAATAAGGACTAAAAACATCAAAAGGTCACATGGCTTTTTATGAATTCTTATTGCTGCTCATCTTTTAGAGATTTGAAAATAAGTAGGCTGATTAAGAGGAAAGTTGGGTTTAAGAAATTTAGCACAAAATGGCCAAAAAGTAACCCCCAAACAATGAATTATACCTGGATTAGTTTTCTGTAATTTACAAACTGTATAGAATTTGCTTGTCCAGTCTTTTGAATGGAAAGAGAGAAAGTGTGTGTGTGTGTGTGTGTGTGTGTGTGTGTGTGTGTGTGTGTTAGGAAAATAATCTTTTTAATAAAGTTTACCATAAAAAAATACTGATGGCTGTAATTTTCTCGCAAAAATTAAAAAGGTATTTTTATAGGGCAGGCTCTTCCTGTCTGACTGCCGTTCTCCAGGGGAGTAGGGATGGTGAGGGAAGGATCATTTCCACTGAGGCAGACGGAGAGCAATTAATGCCTTAATGGAAGTGTAATTAGCCCTAGAGGTCTCTGCTGTTGTAACCCTTCAGAACAAGAATGACAGATTAAAACCTCCATACTTAACTCTTTCTGGTTTCCACACTGGGCTAGGAGGAAAGCAGTTACTAGACATGGAATGTTCATTTCCCGCACTTACCAGAATGGGTTCTAAGATGCCCTGTGAGTGCATCTCTTCTCTGGCATGCATAGTTGCAGAGGTGACACTTAAAAGGTTTTTCCCCTGTGTGCAGTTTAATGTGGCGGAGGAGGTTACCTTTCTGAGTAAAAGATGCCCCACACTGATTACACTGGAATGGGCGTTCACCTTTAAAAAAGACAAAAAAGGAGATTTCTGATCACTAGGCAAGTGGAGAAGCATATGCACAGATTAGATGCCTAGGGCCAAAGCTCATCTTGTAGAGTTTTTACTCCTAATGGGATCAGTTGGGAGCTGCGTTGCAAGGCAAGCATAAGACTTACTTATGGAATCTTCATGTAGGACAGAAAAAGCACTCAGCAAGGCTATTTTAGGTCTCACCTTGTCTTGAATCAGAGCAAAGAAACAAGAGTAGCTCTAGAAGTGCATTCTAGATATAAGTTTTTCTATTTAAGTATTTTTTTTGAGTATAATCTCCTCTGAAAAAAGAGTCACAGACTAAAGTCCTAACAGGGTAACTTCAGATATCCTTCTTTTTAAAGTCTTCTTATCAGATGTCATATGGAATCTATTGGCTCAGTGGGACTGCTGTGTCTGTAAGCATTTCTATAGACTACCTGTTTATTGTCTGAAGATAAATTCTTTAAAACTGGTAATAAAAACTATACCCTTTCATCTACCAAATGTGAACCCAATGCAGTAAGGAGATCTGCTTTTATTAAAAGTGTTATGCAAAAATATATGAAAGATAGCTAAGAAATGAATCACACAATGCAACTCCTACTTATGAACGGAAGAAAAAGTGTTTGGCTGACCTAGAACACTGCTCTCTGCAGTCTTTTTTTATTCATAGCATTTGCAATATGTTTGCCAAACGCATGGGCAAAGCAGGGATAAAAATCACTGGTAAATGAAAATGCAGAAAGAAAGAGATGCATCAGAATTATAGCAAAAATCAATAATCAAAAGTCCCAAATTCCACCACTTCATGTTCCACTGGCTGCATTAGGAGAGTTTTCAGAAGAATGAAAAAAAGGAGACTATTTACCAGTATGGCTTCGCTTATGAACCATTAAGACATTGAAGCTAACGCAGGATAATCCACACACATCGCAATTCATCTTTCCACTGGTTGGCCGGCCACTGTCATAGGAGACAACATGTCTCTCCAACTTAATGTTTTCATATTCATTATATTCTCTTGAATAGCTGTAAGGAATTTCGGGCTCTTCTGCGTTTCCCATGGGCTCTGACTTTAAAACATTCTCATCTCTTTCGCTGTATTCATCTTTCACTTTCATTGAATCATCTGCAGGGAAGAAAATGCAAGAAATGGACAATGACTGTACTTGGAGCTATCCAAGTAGTTCAAAAAGCAGAGATCCACAGCTGATGATTAAATACCAAATGAAACTGGCGTAACGTTGTACATCTACAAAGCAAGAAAACACCATTAGGATGATCACACATTATTTGAATTCAGAACCACAGAATAAAACACATACTCACACACATAAAAATAGGTGACGGTTCAGGCTATCCAAAAAATTAGAGATAATAGATTTTAGCTAAGACTGTTCAAAGTGATCATGAAACAAACATTTTGAGCAACTCTTCTCCAGGACTGAGGGAGATGAAAGGTTCTCATATTTAGTTCTTTTTCTTTCTTTTTTTGGTGGCTATAGTTAAAAAAAGCAAGGTGATATACTCTTAGGTTTCAAGGAGAAAACACTGTTTTAATCCTTCAAATGCATCCAATTTAAGTCACTAAGATTGAAAGTTGAATAGTTTACATGGTTTTTCTGATTTTAAGCCATGCTTTGCCTCTTCACCTTCCATGTACAAGAACTGCCAAAACACGTCTTATCTCTCTGTCTCTCTTGGAACTGAAAAAGGCACAACAATGAATGTATAGGAAGCCATCAGTACTAGTGAAATGTGTTGAGAAAGATAAAAAGAAAGTAATTCTTTTTTTTTTTTTTTCCCAGAGACAGGGTCTCGCTCTGTCACCCAGGCTGGAGTGCAGTGGCTATTCACAGGTGCGATCATAGCTCCCTGCAGCCTCGAACTGCTGGGCTCAAGGGATCCTCCTGCCTCACCCTCCCGAGTAGCTGGGACTACAGGCTGGCACCACTGTACCCAACTAGGAAAAGTAATTATTTAAAGTAATCTGAGGAGCCATTTCCATTGACATAGGTAAATGGGGCTCAACCTAAGTAAGGAGAAGGATACCTGTACCAAGTTAGGGAGGACTAAACTCAAGACCCTAGAATTGTGGGACTGGGTAGGAGAGACTGCACTGAGTGGCTGACCAAGTACTGTCTTAAAAAGAGCTGTAACATAAATAAATAAAAAATTTTTAAAAGAGCCGTAATACTCTTAAGCTGAAGAACATAAGAAATGAAGAAGGCAAATTTATGTACTGACATTAACAAAACCTAAAAATTTACCTGATATAATAACAATAAACATTTGTAAGAGATTTTTCACGTATAAAATATGCTGTCCAAATCCTTATTTTTTCAAGCATTGGTCCTTCGAAATATGAAGTTGTACTTCCCCATGAGGAATCACAAATCAATGGAATGTAGGGCTGAAAGAGAATTTAGAGATCATCTAATCCAGCCCTCTTCTTTCCCAGAGGAGGAAATCTGGGAGCAGAGACTTTTTCTGGGATTTGTCCAGGGTTACGCAGCCAGTTACGAGCAGAGGTGTGACGAGAATGCTAACCTTAACTCTGAACTATCAATCACTTGGATTCGACCTCACACACTAGATGCACAAAGTCTCTGTGGCTTCTTACCAACTCTGCTCCACATCCTTCCATCAGTGGTGTAGATGTTAAAACCCAAAACAGTCTGAAAAAAAAAGATATTTTACAAAAACTACATCCCTTCCAAAAAACATCAGTAAGTGTTGCTCCTGCTGCCACACAGGAGGAAGTAGAACTGCAGCTGTGCCTGGCTTGCTGCCTTCAACCCAAGTTTCAATTTTCACTTCTATCAAGGTTACCTTTCATCTACAATAACTGTGTTTGCTTAATAGAGCAAGACAGGGCTTCACCACCATCAGAGGAGCCATGGCTGCAACGCTGTTCCACTGCTTCTCGCCACGGTTCACGGTTCACAACCTTTCACTCTTTGACTAGCAGAGACGTAGGGCTGTAGGATACAGCCAACCTATCCTGCAGTTTCCAATTTGCCCATCCTAGGCATCTGGGTTATATAGGAACGGATATCTATTTCCTACTTGGGAAGAGGTTCATTTCCTTCTTTCTCTGGACAGGTCTTGCTTGCCTTCAGATGGAATTTGTTTGCTTAAGTGTTTTTTGTTTTTTCAATTTTTTTTTTTTTTTTAAGAGAAGGATGCACCTGAGGCTTATACCCGCCTCCCTTCCTCCATCACTCCAGCTGTGGGTAACATCCCACCAAAGCTTGAGTGCTCTGCAGTTTGCATGTAGGCGTTTAAAAGAACCTCAACGGAAAATTTCAGCTACTGAAAACCAAAAACAGCAGACAGAAAGGGCCAGCAGAAAAGGATCCTTTTTCATTTTGGTTAGAAAATGTGAGTGTTACCAGACTCAGGCCACTCCATGGTCACTGAACATTAAAAAAATAGTAAGATCAATGTGCTGGATCTTTCTGAAAACAGAGGACATTAGAGAGCTGCTCCTTTCCTTAGAATTTTGGCTTTAGTAGGCCAGACCTGGAACTCAATACTACACCATCCTGGCCCAAAATCAGATCTTGGCTTTAGTCCTTTAGGACTTAGCTGTAGAGCAAGGAAGATGGTATTTGAGACCCAGGGCCATAGGGAAAGCAATAAGACTTACATGGACAGGACATTAGGGAAGTCCTCTGGACGCGTTGCAACAAAAAAGTTCTTGGTATAATTGCTGGTTTGCCTTTGGAGTCTCACCAGCTTGAGATAAACAACCTGGATGACCTCTCTGCATGGTTACTGGGGACCAGCAATTTATTGTGGTTTACCATGTGAAGGTAAACAGAGTTAGATAGTAGAATAAATTAGAATTCCAGGTATGAATGAGATTCCTAAGAGATTAGCACCTAGCCAGTAAATATAGCCCACCAAAACAGCCAGGAAAGACACCAGTCTGTTCTAATGAAGAGATTTTCATTCCAGTCCTTGGAAGATACTGGAGCAGAGGAAAGACGGGCATTCTACTGAGTACCCCTACAAAATATTAATGAGCATGTCTAAAATCAAACTTGTCATTTTTTTTTTTTGAGACAGAATCTTACTCTATTGCCCTGGCTACAGTGCCGTGGCATCAGCCTTGCTCACAACAGGCTCAAGCGATCCTCCTGCCTCAGCCTCCTGAGCAGCTGAGACTACAGGCATGCGCCACCATGCCTGGCTAATTTTTTTCTATATGTTTTTAGTCGTCCAGCTAATTTCTTTCTATTTTTTTAGTAGAGATGGGGTCTCGCTCTTGCTCAGGCTGGTCTCAAACTCCTGAGCTCAAACGATCTGCCCGCCTCTGCCTCCCAGAGTGCTAGGATTACAGGTGTGAGCCACCGTGCCTGGCCCAAATTTGTCATTTTTGAACCCAAACTTACTTCTAAATTACGACTTATTTATATTGACAAATGGCACCTCTCTTCTCCCAGTCTCCAAGTCTTAAAACTGTGAAAGCTTTTCCCTTACAATCTCCACATCAAGTCAGTCTCCAAGATCTCTCAACTCTATGTCCTTAGGCTCTCTAGACACCAACTCTTTTCCTTTCCATTTGCAATTTAGTTTAGTCTGTCATCACATCATACCTGAACTCATCCTCTCTCAACATTCCTTTCTAGACAGATTTATGACAAAGGTCATCTATGCTTACGTCCTCAATTTGGACTAAAATTCCCTCTAATCTGGCTTCTGCCTCCATAATTCACTGACACTGCTCCCTTGAAGACCATCAATAATCTCCTGATTCTAAATCCAATACCCTTTTCTATGCCATTCTTCCCAACTTCTCTGTACTCCTTGACGCTACTGACCACTATCCCTGGTTCTTCCATACTCCTATTTCTTCAGAGAAACTGTATCTCCTCTCCTTACCTTTCTGTTCTTTCGAGCTCCTTTCCTCCCTCTGTGTCCTAAATACTGTCCTTGACCTTCTTTTTTCTTTCCTCTACCCACCTCTCCTATGGCCATTTCATCCATTCTTTTTTTTTTTTTTTTTTCTCTTCTGCCCGGGCTAGAGTGAGTGCCGTGGCGTCAGCCTAGCTCACAGCAACCTCAAACTCCTGGGCTCAAGCGATTCTCCTGCCTCAGCCTCCCGAGTAGCTGGGACAGGCATGCACCACCATGCCCGGCTAATTTTTTCTATATATTTTTAGTTGTCTGATTAATTTCTTTCTATTTTTAGTAGAGACGGGGTCTCGCTCTTGCTCAGGCTGGTCTTGAACTCCTGAGCTCAAACAATCCGCCCGCCTCGGCCTCCCAGAGAGTTAGGATTACAGGCGTGAGCCACCGCGCCCGGCCATTTCATCCATTCTTAAGGCTTCAACTAGCAACTTATATGATTAAACCCCAAATATTTATCTCCAAGTATAATCTCTCTCCCCTTCTTCAGTCCTCCATTTCCTATGTATCTTCCCAGTTAATCAAAGCAGAATCCTTACAGTTATCCTTCCTTTCTCATGTCTGTGCTGCCACATTCATTCATTGGTTCTATCTTTGTACCCAATCTCCAGTCTGTTTCTCCACTCCACCATTTTGCATGCCCATTATCTAATCCTCGGACCCTGTTACCTTTCCCACGATCTGCTGTAGCCTCCACATCATCCTCCCTGCATTCTTTCTATTTCCTTTCCAGCTCATCTTGTACACTGCCACGAGATTGCTCTTCCTAAACTATAGCTCTGGTCATGTCATGGCCCTGACAAAATTCTTCAATATTCTCCACTGCCAACAAAATAAAGTCCAAACTCAGAAACGAAGAACTTAAAAGACCTTTTGAGATCTGGCCCCAACTTATCTTTGTAATGTTGATTTTGACTAATCAGATATTTTTAAACAAACAAAAGCACTTCTAAATATTCTTGGTTTTGTCCATATTATTTCCATTGCCTAAAAGGTCTTTCCCCAACATGGCTACAGGTCCAAATACTACACATCTTTTAAGGCCAAACTAATATGCTCTCTCTCCCATACTATACCTTCTCTGATTTCCCTAGCTGGAAAATAACCTGTTCCTGCCTCCTCTGAGTTACTTATAAACTCACCTTATCTCCCCTGTGGACATGTAAGCTACCCGAAGGCAGAAGCTACAAAGGTTGTTTGTGTGTGTGTGTG